GGGGGGGGGGGTGAGTATTGAAATTAAATAAATGAGCGTAAGTTGTGAAGGAGTGAAGTGGACTGACCTGGCAGGCAGTCTTCTTTGGTCAAAGTGATTTACCTTTTTTGTGCAGGAGTAAGGGATTTCTTCAACTGAGGCATTGCCTTCATCTCGTAAGAAATATCTTGATCATCGGAGAAACGACTCTAGTCACGAAAAGGTTTGGAGAGTTGGTTAGGAGTAGGCCTTTTCGAAACGTCGAGGTTCTCATGGCTTTGCCGGTAATATCTCGATTGTGGTCTGCTGGATTGTGACGCCGTGTGGTCTTGCAGGCACTTAACCGACGTTTCGGAAGAACGTATTGCCTACATTCGCGTCATAACCCAGAAGACGACAGTCGACATATAGGCCTGTATTCTCCTGGTTTTTTTTTGTATATTTTATATTAAGCGTTGAAGTCTAATTTATCTGTGTGTCACGTGGTGCTTATGTTTTGAATAAAATTTTATTAAAATTGATCTGGATATTGAATAAAGTATAAACTACTGCAACGGTCTACTGAGCACGTTTTCAAACATCCTAAACATGTTTGTTTGTTTGTTTGTCTGTCTGGTTGCTCCCCTGTCTCGAGTTCTGCAGTCCAACGCTTATTTTTACAGAAGACGCAGTGCTTTTTTGATGGATGTTTTTCCTAAAATGATTGGCATCGGATGTTATTACTTCCACGCTGGTCTTGATATTTAGAGTCAAATTTGAGAGGGTTAAATGGAAACGCGTATTGATCCAGCGGGTGGAATTGAGAGTTGGGGGGTGGGGGGCAGGGATTTATAAGTCAACCCTCCTATTTTCCTGAATCAGATTCGTAGAATGCCGATTGGTATTAAAATGTATTCAGTGGTTTTCGTGGATATTGAAAAAAAATTGAAATTTAATTACTGTATTTCCCATTTCTCCGTGTTTTATTTGGGGGAAAAAAAATCGGAGAAGAGTGTTTGAAATTGGAATGGTTAAAAACTGAATGGTAATTAATTATATGTATATAAGCTGATCTCTCACACCGACATCCGAGAAGTGGAACCGAATTATGTCAGACTGTAATCTCTGTTTAGACTGTATCTTTGTCACGCTAAACTTACGACTTTTTCTGTGACGAACGAAATCTGATATGTTTATTTGTGAGAGAGTCGTTAGGATTTATAGTAGGATATAGGATTTATGTTCCTGTTATTGACGTCATTGTAGCTCAGCTAGGGATCGATGTCTGGCCCTTGTGAACAAGGTAATGAACCCCGGAAAGTTTTCGGTTTTTGAAATAATTTACACGGTGGTATCGTACCCGTTCAATTGGAAGGGCATTCATTTCTGATGGCGAATCGTAGCAATATCAGTTCCAGTTGCATTTACCTTAAAAGCAGAACTGTAAACCAAATTGGACTGAAGAAAAGAAAAATATATTTACAGAATTGTAGTCAGAACCAGAACCGAGTAGACCACTTTCAAGGCACAGGTATAAATGGGCGGATAATATTAAAATGTATCTTAAATAAATGATCGAAGGTATGGACTGGATTTATCAGGATCAGGGTAGGATCCAGTGTTGATCTGCTGTGTGCATGGTAATTAATTTCCTGGTTCAGAAAAAGCCAGTAAGTGTCTGCGACAGATGGTTATTGAGAATCCTGTCATAGTTTCATGAGCTCTAGATGCAACTGATATGTTTGTGTTTCAGTGTATATACGGGTGTTACGTCCATTCAGCCATATTGCCGACATTTCATCGTAGATGCTATTGGCTACTCCAGGTAAGATCATTAATTACATTTAAATTGATCTCAACACTAACTGCAGGCCCTGTAAACAGTTGGGCTGTGCCATGATTTCCGTTGTGTCTGTTTTATTGGAGAAGAGGAATTTAGGCCCGTGTTTTTAATTCAGTGGCAGAACACACACAAGGATGTTAAATGAATGTGACGCTGGAGTCTGCATAAAAGACTTTTAACTGTAACACATTATATCGCGCGCTTTAACAATCTGCGTATACTGTGCCATAAACTCTTTCTAGTGCTGATGTTAAAAATTCATTTGTATCCGTAAATCTTCCGACTTTAATAAAACCAGATGCCTTATTACTTGTACTCATTTCTTTGTAGCAATGCAATTAAAGGAGCTAAATTAATATGGGAACATTATGTGCAGATGGTGGGTAGATTTACTTTTCATTAGTCAGTCTGAGCTTGTGGAAGTTCAGCCCCATGCAATGATTATTATGTAAGACTTGAGGTTCTCACAGCGGTGAGTATGAAGATTTCCGTCTTCTGGGTTGTTGCGCTCATCGCCCTGATGACGGAGGCAGTGTGACCTCTGAAACGGTGGTAAACATCGACCAGACTACACAGCGCAACAACCCAGAAGACGGAAATCTTCAATGATTATTAGTTTTGTTGTGCTTTGTATGCTTGACACACACACCTTGATAGCACAGACTGGATGACGGTGGCAGAGACGGTCTCTGAAACGGAAGCGTGTCCCGTGCTGACACTAGTGATGACCCAAGAAAGCTACACTGTGCTTTTTAACTTTGTAATTCCTAATATACAAGCAGGGCAACCGTGTGAAACTGTGGTGGGCTTGGTATTGGTCTGCCATAAATTCCGTTCTGATTTGCTTAATGCACCTGTTCCCTGGTGGAAGAATGCAGAAACTATGCCAACAAGATGGGAAATGTAAATGTGTTATATCTGAAATTGCATAGAAATCATGACAGCTTTTGCGCATACATTTCAGGGTCCTGAGAGACTGACATTGAACAGTTTAACTGTAGAGTGTGATGTGTTGCAGAACCCAGATATAGTGTTGGTCCACTACCTCAATGTGCCATATCCAGATGACAACAAACTGGCAGTAATCACACCGAGCCTGGCTTTATGGGGTGACAAAAAGGAGTGGACCAAGGAAGAACTGGTGTCGCAGCTCAGGCCCATGTGTGAGTCGCCATCAGCCCCCTGTACATCCTCTACATCTTCTACTTCTTCTTCTTCCTACTCCAGTGGTGCTGGTGTTATGCAGGGTGAAGTGAAAACAGATCTGTGTTGCTTGCTGCATCATCCCCTCTCTTTACCGCATGGCTTCTCATTAGGTCAGATTTCATTGTTTCTTGCATTATCAGAAATTTCAGAATTGTGTAGCCAGGAATTATACATGGGCCTATGTTTTAAGAATTTCTAACGTACCAGTAATGGTTCCTTTGTATAATACCGCTGTTCCAGCAAGTGATATCCAATGGTACAGGGTCTTTTGTGAGTAATTGATAGTTACCACATTTAACTGAACAAGACGTGGTTATCATGTAACTCGAAAGTCCATAACTGTGACCACAAAAACCCATCATTTTATTTTATACTGGTTTAGTTCAACAAGTTAACATTTTTAAAACACATTTCTCTAAGATGCACTTTAATATTGTCTTATAATCAGTATCTAGTTTTCGAAGTAGTTTCTTTGTTTGAGAATATCAAGCTGGTGTTCTATATTTATTTCCTGTTTTCCCAGTGTTATATAGCGTTGAAGAAGAAATGGTGACATGATTATTAATATGAAGGGTAGGATTTGAGGTTTTTGTGGTGGTAAGTCTAAAGATGGCTATCATCTGGGTTGTAGCGCCGTGTAGTCTGGTAAAAGTTTATAGCCATTTCAGAGATATTTGCTGCTTCACTCATTGTCCTGCTGATGAAGGCAGCAGGGACCTCTGAAACGTTGATAAACTTCTACCAAACTACATGGCGCTACAACCCAGATGATAGCCATCTTCAATATGAAGGGTGTTTGAGAAGAGTGTTGGACAAAACTTGTCTTCTCATATTTATTTGGAGAGACCTAAGGAAACATTGAACAACTTCATGACACTCAAGAAATTGTATTCTTATGTTAGAAAACCTTGATAAAAAAAGGTTCATGAAGCTTTCTGTTCAGGGAACGTGCAGCTTGAATTGAGAAAGAGTAAGGAGAGATGCCAAAAATAGTAAAGAAATAACAAACAAGCTTGGAAAGTGTATTCCATTCCAGAAAACACACAATATCATGCGTTCTTTGCAACCTGCATTTAGAGGTATTATATCTGCCTTGTTTAATAGTTCCCACTTTGGCCACCAGATTGCAGCATATCATTGTCTACTCATGGCTTTCCTCATTTGTCTCTTTGTTATCAAAGTTTGATTTTGAGGTTGTGCAGAATGGCATGACCTCTTACCAGATTTCATCGAAATACGTCCAGTGGTTCTCAAGTAGAATTGACTGGATAGATGGACACAACCAACCCATAATGCATTCTCCCCATGCAGTTTGCAAAAGAACACATGAATATTGATTGAACTGAATTACAGAGCTCAATGAATAATCATAACAGTTGTCTATTAACTAGCACTCTTTCACTGCCACTAAATTGACAGGCTATAGGAAGCAGGCACTTCATTCTTTGCTTTCTTGCATCCACCAAGAATTTCATGCAAATTATTTACTTTTATTTGCTTACTACTTGACTCCTTATTAAATACTGTTAATTCTGGCTGTGGACACACCCATTTACAAGGTAAGTTCTGTTATCTGGAAAATCACATCTGTTGAAAAAATTTCACTCACACTCAACCTGTTCACATCAGGTGGTATGATTATAGATTTCTTTTACTTTGGTTTAATTTTTTTAATATTTGCTGTGCATTCTCTGATGTGTAGAAAGAACCATTGCTGTTACAGTATCAGCATTGCTGCATTCACAAGATAAAGAAGACTATTCAGGTACATTGCAGACTATACGTTAAATACAGTCCCAGTGTGCGAACTTGTTTTGATATAGTTTATTTCTGTCCTATAATTGTATCTTAACAGTGTATAAGATAGTGTTCTTGTGAACATCCTTTTATGTTCATATTTTTAGGTACATTCACAATGAAGTTTCAAAAATGTACCTGTTACGTTTACCATATCTGTCTGTCTGTATGTGTGCCTGCTTGCATGTACTAATTTGAAAACCACTGAATAGGTTTACATTAAATTAGGTACTGATAAGGTCTGCTAAAATTTGTTAACATGGCTTAATTTTAGGTACTATCCCAAAATTTTCCTGGGGGTTCTGAGGAAAGTAATGGAATTTTTTTTTCTGAATTTCAATCCTGAGTCCTACTTTGTTGAAGGAAGGGGGCCTAGGGATACATGGGAGATCTCTTAGTTTAAAGGTTAAGAACCGACGGTATTAACCTTAGAAATTGTTACGTGTGCAGCAGACGTCATCTTCGGCAGGGGCAGCAGCAGCAGTTGTTTGTTGTCTACTGTGAAATTTTATATTAGAAAATGAAATTTAATTTCTGGCAGTATATTACAATATGGTGACCATATTGGAGCTTAATTCTTAAAGTGAGTAAAATGTATCTATAGAGGGTTTGCTCATCATATTGCACATGTACAGTTATTATATATTTTCACATCGTAGTTTCATACATGATCTCTCTTAAATCCTACTCGGAAATGTTCCTCGTTGTTGTACATATTGTTTGTATGATTTTACATTAAGTCAGAGGAATTTTCTTAATAATTTATGCATTTTAATGCCTTTTATATGCATGATGACCTGGCATGAACACTTAAACAGCTTTTACCTTAATTTCCCACTGTCTCCTTTATGTTCTAAGCTATTCTGGTATTTCCTTACTTTGTAGTCATATTTATATATGTAGAACTTTAGCATCATGCGTAGTGGCATTTTATCTTTGGATTTCAAACTACTTGCAATGCCATCTCTGGAAAAGCTCGTCTTCAATTTTCGGATGAAAGAGGAATACCTTGGTGTTATGAGACACAGTAATTCTGGATAGACAGCTGCAATGCATTGCATTCTTGATTGATAAAATTGTATGGTACATATCTTCTGTCATTACCACACAATGGGATTGCATTCTTGATTGATAAAATTGTATGTTACATATCTTCTGTCTTTACCACACAATGGGGTAATAACTGTTTTAGTTCTTCTGTCAGACTAGTCCAGAAAACACTTAAATCATATTCCGGTCCAATGCCAGACTCAGACTGACAAGACTGATGGTCTTAAAAGTCAAAACAAATTTGTATTGATGTTCGAGGTTTGTGTTGTGTTTAGATATATCATAAAGAAAGTTCTGTAAGAATCAGTTTGATATTCAGAAACTCAAGTTTCTGTCCAGTCTGACAGTTTCAAATTTTAAACAAAATAAATTAGACTTATTACAGTGTCTCACATTATCAAAATATGTTAACCTCAGGGATTTAAAGTTCTTACTATCAGAAATTCTAATTTCACACAATTTATTATTTCTGTAGTTTATGTGTTGGTCTTCTGTTATTTGCCTGAAAGGACTGAGGAAACCTCAAAAATATTTTTTGTCATATCAGTTATTATCCCAAGTGGGGTTTGAACCAGGCACCTCTACAGTCCATGTAAGATGCGAATCACCAAGATAGTCCAGATTTACGTAACCTTGCTACCCAGTGACTTTTGCAGCTTCGTATCATGTGCACTATTCATTTTGGTAACTGATTTTACTGATATATTATGTAGTCATAATTTATTATGAAATGTTTGAAGTACAATACTGCAAACTAAAATTCAGGGTTCCTTTATCATATTTGTGATTCCTCTATAAAACAAAGAATTCTGTAATGGATCATTAATTCCATTTTTATTTTCAGTTTTCAGTGAAGATGAGCCGGACCTCAATAATGAGCTGGAAATATCGGTAAGATGCTTTCCTAATTCAGTTTAACTCTTAACTGACTGAAACACAGTTAACTCAATTTATCTCTAAATGTCATTGGCGATGGTGTTGAATTACCAATTTAAAATTTTTTGAGGAAGCCCAGTGGCGATTGAAAAAGTCCATAAATCTGAAATTCATAACATTTAACTTGACCTGACGTGAAACTAACAAATACCAACTACATGGTGCTCGATAGTGTTGATGGTTTGTGCATCTGGTGATGACTTTTCTGACAGACGGCAGAGACGGTGGAAGCCATTGTTACTCAGCTGATGGAGAAGCAGCGTCTGGCCCGAGCAGCAGCGCTCACCAAACAGCTGGAGTGTGGTTGCCCTGACTCAACATGTGCTGATGGGAAAACCTGTTCCCACCCGATGCGGCGGATAACGGCAGCGAAGACTAGTACCACTGACCTCACATCCAGTTCCAACGCTCGACAGGCTGTTGTTAGTATGTCTGCTATCAACACTGAGAACAACAACCAGGTATTCACTTACAGTTGAAATTTCATAACCTTTGATGAGAATGGCGTTTTGAATATAAATTTTCAGTATAGTGTTCAAAGTTAGTAATAGAGTATTTTATTTCATCCAAATGGTTTTCCTTTTCTGTAGTCAAGTAGATTTGATCTAAATTTTGCAATCTTGTTGTATGCTTTTTATTTACTCAATACTTTCATAAATTATTTAATTAGCTTCTGCCATCTATGGAGGAATAATTTCTACTATTTTAGTTCAGGTTTTGGCCATAGTATAATACAGAATTAACTGTTTGTGTCCACCTTCTATTTTCACCAACCTGTGTCTTGCATCGTAGTGTATGAAACTTAAGTGATTGGTTGATTAATTACAGTTTTGGAATTTGTTAGGAAAGTATATTTGGATGACACTATCAGCAGCAGTGGTAGTAAAATATGTATTTAAAACTGAGGTAGCAAAATTTAACAGACACAAGTAATAACTCATTTCTTAGGGCACCATTATAGAACTTGCTAATGGATGAACATAAAAGTTAACCATTCATAGAACTGTTAAGTTGCATGCCAGTTAAGCATCTGTTCATAGAAGTGTTATATTCCATGTGTAGGTTTCTTCCACAACTGGCTCAGGAAGCGTGATCCTTACATCAACTTCCAACAATGCAAGCAGTGCAGCACGTCTCCATTCCCGAGACGGGATCTCTTTACACTCCCATCATTCCCACCAGCAGCAGCAGCAGCAACAACAGCATTCCCATCATCACAGTAACAATCGTAGTTCATCTAGTGGTAGCGCTGGCAACCCAACCACCACATCAACCCCCCCTCTTGTTCTCAGTTTGTCCCAAATCCAAGGTGGTGGAGGCCTCCTCATCCTTAATAGTTCCACTGGGAACAGTTCGACGAACCAAACTCATCAGTCCTTAGTTTCTCCCGTTGCCGTCACTTCCTTTGTCTGCAGCGCCAATTCAGCACATCACCAGCGGAGTCATCATCAAAACCAACATCTTACAAATGATTCATCAAAATCCATGACACCAGCAACAATAGTGTTGAAGCAGGAAGCCATGGAAACAGGCTCGTCGCCATCTTCCTGTTGTCACCAGGCTTCGGTGTCTGAAAGCAACACAGCAACTAGTAATAGCATGCTGAACATTAACATTACCAATAACAACAATAATATTAATATCAATGATAGTAATAAAATGGACGTTACAAATGGAAATGTCTCATCAGGTTTTGACAGTAATGGTGCGACGTACTTAAGTAGCAATCGAGACAAGAGCATTCTGAGATCAGCAACTCCAAAGCAGCAGCATGTAGCATTATTATCAACCCCAAATTCCTCCATGAGCAGTGCTCCACCCACTCCAGCCAAACACATGGACACAAGTGGAGAAGACCTGATGGACATAAAACAGACTTACTGTGGCAGTGATACTGTTTTAGTTATTAGTTCAAGCTCAAATTCTGGGATGAAAAACACAGACACTGTTTCATTGGTCGGTGGTTTCTTTAATGAAACATTAGACCTGTCCCAGGAAGATATTCAAAGGACATTGTCGGCCAACATGCCTCTGTCATGTTCTGCAGAGTTAAACCACCACCACCGTCGTAGTGGTGGGAGTATGGTGAGTGGTGCTCATCATGTTATTGCGTCCAAGTCTATGGCTCCTTCCAGTGGAGACCAGATGTCCCCTGATGATGTCATAGTTCCAGAAATCAATCCAATGGATTTCATTGACAGCTGTGATGTAGTGGTATCACCAACACAGGTTTGTATTTTGCCCAGAACAGTCTTAGAAAACAAGCGAGGAATAGTTTTCCTATTACAGTGAAATATTTTTGTGTTAGATTTTCTAAAAAGTGAAGATGTGTAACTAATCATGATGTCTGGTACATTTGCAATGATTATATACCTAAGAGTTTATTTGACAATTTAATTGACCATAAATAGTTATAACATTTTCTTGGAAATGTTTTTTTGTAGAATGTTGAGCAAGAAAACAAATTTCCAAGATTTTTACGTAAATTTCCTTGAACAGAGACTACCATAAGTGACTTAATCTCTTACCAAGACACATCTTTGCAGGGATAATTTTGGATGAATAGACAGTCACAATGTGGTAACAGTGCAAAGTAGTATTATATTGATTGTGGTAACTAACAAGTGAGTGTTTCTCCATGCCATGCAATTTGGTATGCTGCTTTTTATAATTTTATCAGGAAAAAGTTTTTACTTTTGTATTTGTTCTTTTGAAGTTCCAGCATGGTAAGAGAATGATATTTTTAGGTTATTTGTTCCAGAGAAAGGTGTATCGAACTTTACAAAATTCAGTCTTGCGCAATATACTTGTTTTAAGAACTTCTTTTACTAATCTAAAAGCTTGCTGAAATAATACCTGCTTTATAAAAATTAGACTCATAGGTGATGTAATGGTGCACGTGTGTGCTTCATTGTATTGTGAATATTTATCCAGAGATTTCCCTTTTTTTCTGAACACGAAAAACTGTAATTTTAAAGAGAAGAGTGTGATTTTATGCAGATATTTTGGGTTTTCTAATGTGATAGACATTTCTGTATGTTTTCTAAAACCACAGTCACACACCAAAAAAGTACTTTTCTTTTATTAGAATATGATTTATTAACAGTTCCTAATTAAACAAAGATTTCCATTGTCATCAGTTGAAGGACTAGAGCCCCCAGTTGAGACTCCACAGTATCCTTGTTCAAAGATTTATGAGATTTGATGTTTTCTGTCTTCCACCTTCTTATTTATTCTCAGTTGAACATTGTCCTGGATTTATGGTTACATGCTGATTATGTTTCTTGTATGACAACAGTGTTTTATGAAGGGCTTAATTTGTAATGGAACAAACAGGCACTAAGCTCTAACAGGTAAAGTTCAAAAGTATCTTCTTTGTAAGTTTACCTCAGTTACATACTTTTTTATCAAATCAAGTAACTAATTTTCAGAGCTAACAGAATCATTTGTATAGGACCAGTAAAACCTGCTTGTAGTATAGGTACTATATCCTTTGATTAAAAACTGTTCAAGACAACTTAAGACACCTCAAAATGTGTGCTATCTAAAAATGTCACTTTTGTTATTATATCTCATTTTTTATTCTAGGTGGATGATGATGTGTTTGTCAATCTTGATGCATTTGACATGCTGGGGGACTTTCCAGAGCTGGAAATTCTTGAATCTTCTACAGAGAGCAACACGGCAGCAGTTAACAGTACTGGGAGTACAGGAATGGACCAGACCACTCCTGAATCCCCTTCAAATCAAAGAGGAAAGTCTGTCACATTATCATCTGTGGATAAGGGGAATGATCAATCATCACCAAGAATGGACTATCGAGAAGGCACGGCAAACATTACCGACTACTCGCCAGAGTGGGCCTACCCTGAGGTGAGTGTGTTGTGTCACCATTTACTACAACACTTCTAAACTGAATTAAGAACAACAGAAATCACTATTAACCCTTCAGCGTGGAGTGCCGAACATCGCTCGTCATGACTTAGTCATCCCATGGCGTGGAGTGCCGAGCACTGCTCGCATAATGCGCGCTAAGACTTCTCCTTCTTCGTAGCGACTGACCTTGTATTTTATGTTTTCTGGATCCAGTAGCCATGTAGAGAAAAATGCTGGCTATCGATTGATATATAACATGATCAACGACCTTAGTCAATGCATTCTCTGTTCTCCCCTTGGTAAGAACAGAATTCTATAGTACATATCTGCCGTCAGTCAGCCGTGAATATGGCTTCGAGTAGCAGGCGTTTTTTGTCTCCTCAAGACATTGCTAGAAGTGTAGACGAACCTCTCACTGATTCCGAAAGTAGCGTGTTCGATTCAGATGATGAATCAAGTGTAATCGATGATTTACCTGTTCGTGAATTTCTTACATGTGACGAATCTGAAAATGAATACAATGACGGTGAACAAAGTGGGAGCAGTTTACCGAGTGTGGCACGTCCTGCTGCTTAAGGTACATTTTTTAACTTTCTATAAAGCATAGTGTGTTGTGAACATTTTGTTCAAAGTTTCACTAAAATTCATCAATTATTAGGGAAGTTGTGCCCATATAAGTAAAATGATGCACTTTCAGCTCAAAATTAAATCCCCAACCAGAAACTCCTCCCACAGCACGGTATAGACTTGGGATTTAAATGCTCCCACGCTGAAGGATTAAAAAAATAGGTATTGTCACTTTTCATTTATAAGCTGTTTATTATATCTGAAATAACTTTCCCCCACCCCTCTAAGGACTAGAATGGTAAGTGTCGGTCTGGTGTATGTAACTCAGGTGATCTAATAACTACTTTCACATCATTGCCCATATTTCTTTATAAACCCCATAGCTTTTCATTATGCACAATAGAGTTTGTTGATAAATAATGCGCTATTTATTCATTCTTGATTTTAATTGGGCAACTGGCACAGCAGACGGTATGTTTGCTAGAAGTGAACCCCGGAATGCCATTGAAAACTTCGGCAGGTATCCGGTGCCAAGCGTTCCGACGCATGTCGTCATGCAGCGAACAAAATATGCAATATTTACTGCAGTCAACATCCAGATGCCTTTTGAACC